AAATTTGAAGAAGCAACTAATTTTCTTCAACCTGGTATTTTTTTATATTTTATTTTTCATTCTTTTCGTCTGTTTTTTCGAGTTTAAAAAATGTGATTATAGTTGATTATAGTTCCTGGGCTCCCTGTGATCTCACCCCCGAAAAAAACTGGGAACCAAATAACATTCTCTCCCATGCAGTAAATAGCAATACAAATATGAGTCATATTGACGGAAGCTACTGTTGCCATGGACACTAATGCAAAATCTTCACAGAATATTAATTACAAGGCTTTATGAAACAAATCTTCAAACCCATTAATATTTATAAAGAAGTATTGCTGCTAAAATTATGTACTAGAGTGTCGTTGCCCGGAAGAAAGTTTAATAAATCTGTGCCCGAAAAATATGCAAGACACTCACTTTTTAATACCCCCCTAACTTTTGAATGGTGTACCCTTTTATAGTGTGTGCCAAGGAAGTTTACACATGTGGTTTCGTTGTCCGATGACCTACCTTTGCCTTACTCGCGAATACAAGTGATTTCAAAGAACCTTTCTGTTCTTGAGTTGATTCAATAACTCTCGCTGCCTGTGTATACAACATATTAGCAGAAACGATAAATTCACGAAAAATCAACAGAAACGAAAACCCATCATCGAACGCATGGATAATTTGATAACGCGATTTATCGCGTGAAACAACGAGACCACGCAAAAGATGATGTCATTTCCAATTATGTTAATGAGAAGATGGCGACTTAGCGGCCGGATGAAGCGCTGTACATAGCTCCCATAACTTTGTCCTTGATTTTGATATTTTTCGTGGTATTTGTGTTACTTATTTACAAGATCGAAACAGCAGTCGCTAAAGTGCAAGTAGTTTGGGTGAGAAACCGGAAGGGGACTAGGAAGCGGACGAAATCAAGTGAAATACCATCTGACTACATCCAAAGAAGAAAGAAGGCGGAGAGGTTTGTAATGATATGTTGATAGTCCATCTCTTAGATCTTTACATTATTGAATTCGGCGATATTTTTTTTTATGATTTTTTTACAGTGTATTTTAGTGGAATAATATTTCCTTTATACGTCATCATATGTTTTATTGAACAGTCGGTTTTTTCCTCGCATTTTTATATTTAAAATATTTTGACATTTCCATAATGATGCACTGAACAGTGTTCTAGCTTAGCACTGCAGGTTTGAATTATTCACGGGGAAACTGACGAATGAGGCGGTCTATTTTTATTCTACACATTTACATTGACGCCAGTCATCTCCTTGCCCACCGACAGAGATCTCTTTCTTCATAAGCTCTGCTGGATATACTGTTTTTTAAGATTTTGCTCATTTCTTCCTGTCTTGCCTGTCAAAAGGCTTGGATGATCAACATTCAAAGATAAATTGTTTCTGTCAGAATTGGTTGCACTATTATTAATCTTGTTAAATTTTATCTAATTAATGTCGTTTCTTTACTAGGGTTGTTTATAAATTACAGGTAATGTAAAATGTCTGTTAGTAACCAATCTTTCTCGCAATTTCTAACGCTTTTCTAGTGTCCATTTAAAAAATTTAAATGCTGTTCAATCACGTTTCAAAGATCCCAATGCAAATTATTTAATAGTTTTGACTTGTTATTACCAAAACATTTTGTACTGTAAAATTGTACTTCAAAATGAGAAGTGTTCATTTAAAAAAATTAAATGTCGGTCACTCACATTTAAAACATAACAATGCAAATTATTCAATAGTTTTGAATTTGAAACATTTTGTACTGTAAAATTGTAAATTATTTTGCTGTTTATAGTCAAACCAATTTTATATCTAAAAAATATTGTAAGGGTAATCAGAACTATCGCAAGTCTGTGATACCAGTTCAGTTCAGTTCAGTCTAGTCTTTTATTTCCTTCATCGTTTGAAACGCCATAGTCAACTTTTTTCACGATTCACAATATAGACTTGAACCATTTTTTCCAAATATTTTATTAAGACCAGTAGGCAATAAGAAATGATGTTAATTTTTTCAAAAAAAAACATAGAAAGTATAGAAAAAAATACATAAAAAAATGTTACACCCTAATTTAGGTGAGAAAAAATATGGTGTTTATAGTGTTAAATACAGTATTGCATTTATAAATAGCAATTGTCTACTAAGGTAAACCACTAAAAAATAGTGTTATCTTCTATGTAACAAAGTGCAATCTCCATAAGGGATGTTTTAACATTGTTGAAGTTTGCCCAAAACGAAAGGTGCTTCATTTGGGAGGAAAGTTCAAAGGGCTATATTTCGTCTAGGTGGCTGACAGCAATTTCTAATTTTCATCGTTGGGGAGAAATTGTTTTTTGTTTTTTTTCGGCTAACTTTACCAATTTGATATGCCTCTAACTCGATAATTATAAACATCGTTGGTGGTGGTAAAATATTTTGGTAGTCGTAAGTTTTATGTTTACTTTCAGAGTATCAGTGAACTCAGAAGCTAGATATGGTTATCACAATGTAAAATGCGTGCTTGACATGTAACACAAAGCAGCAACCAGACTTCTTTGTTATGACCCTGGCATGCTACATTTAAATATTATTATAAATCAATAACCAATACAAGAATAGAAATTAGCATAGTAATGAATTCATAATTACTTTCTGTAATTTAATGTGTAATTTTCTTTTTTTATTAAATTCAGTCTTATTTATATGGTATTTCTTGGTTAAGTGACAAAATAGAGAATTAGGTGTAGTAATTCAATTCATCATGCAGGCTTTTACTGATGGTCAAAAATTACATGTAGATAGTCTGGAATTAATATCATAACTGTTTTTTAGATCAAAGAAGCATGCACCATGTGTTTACTAGGGGTAACACTGGTAAAACATTCCTGGGTTTGGTATTTGCATTACCGATTGCATTGTTTATGTTTGTTTGGTAGGGGTTATAGCGATTATGACTGATGGGTGACCAGTGGTCATGTGCCAGGGCTTCAAATTTCATGGAAATAAACAATGCATTTTGCATGTGTGGTATCTGTTTCATGGGTTCTATATTGAACATGGTATAGGTGGGTCATCTGTGACTTTTTAAATATGGGACATGTAATATATGCAAATAATTATAAAACTGTAAAACTTTAAATAGTGTTTATTTTTATTGCGTTCACTTAGCATTGCGTAATGTGATTAATTAATTATTCAACAAACAAATAAGTAAACAAAAAGCTAGTGACAGATGTCATGGTTTCGAAATAATTTAGTTTTGTTCAGGAAATAAACTCACCTGCGATATATAACAAATCCAAAAGCCATAGTGAAGTTAGGCAGTTTGGAGTTGAAAGTGTCATTATTGTCTGCGTACATTGTCTACATTTGATCTGTTTCACGTGCTGAATGACGATCTATGATTACGTCAGTACTGTTTCGTAAGATCTGATAACAATGAAAAACATTATTATTGCTGTTTAAAATTTCATGTTTTAACAAATTGACACTATTTGCAGGGATCACATTTCCAACATCAGTTTTTTGAAAATTTATATCTCATGGGATTACAAGATACATGTAATACAATGATTTGGTAACATATAATGTACCATCAGTAGAATTTGGAAAATGAAGAAGATCAATTGCAACAACATTTTACAAAATAAATTAAAGGAAGTAATCCATATAAAAATTTGTTTTTGTTTTCATTCAAGTATGTTGTTTAATTATGAGGCAGCTGCTTGTTCCCTTTTCAGATGTTTTCCCTTGTGTTTCAAGCATTTATGAACGAACCTGCCTTGATCAATTAATGTGTTCTTATCTTTAAGCTATTATATACTGATTAAGTTAACCTTTTTCTAAATGTCATTTGATGTAAAGAAGTCAGCTCATATTATATTTATCGATAGTTATGCAAGTACACGTACTATAAATTGTTCATTGTTTTCTTTATCCAAATTTTTTTACAAATTTTTGCACAATCAGCTTTTTGTCAGCTGCCAAGCTTGCTCCCTAAATTTTGACCCAAACCTTTAGATAATAAGAAATTAACAAAGAAATTATAGAAAAATTTAAAAAAACAGGCCAACGTATTGGTAGGAAACAATGTGGTGTTTCATGAGTTAAAAACATTAGTACCATACATTGCAATGAGGCTTCATTTATTAAATTGTTTACCTGCTTTAGGTCATTTTCAGCCAGTTTATCATGATTAATTTTCATAAAGCATGCAATATTATATTTGATTCATTTTTAATTACAATTAACTATTAAGCTTTGTTCAACATTTGAAATTATAATAGCTATAGTGCTGAGATAAGGGTTCTTGTCTTGAACCAAGACCAACTAGACTACTAAAAATTGATTTGATACTGTAAAATCTGTATTAGAAACCGCGGCTTCTATTAAAATGGTACAATCCAATAGAGGGGGTGCGGCTTCTATTAGAGCATCTACACATATGAGAAATGATGATTTTTTGGTTCCCAATTGTTTAAAAAGAATGGGTGCGACTTCTATTAGGGATGCGGCTTCTAATACAGATTTTACGGTACTTTGTTTTCTAGATGGGTGTCTTCATGCAAATTGAGCAATGACGTAATTTATTTGTATTCACACTTTTTTAGCTGTAAGTACCACAATGCCCGCTGGACTTACCAATATTACCTTAGGATTAGAATTGGTAGCACAGCTAGACTTGTGATAACGTTTTTAATTTCAAGCCCGAAGCATTATGTATTATGTAGTGACTAAATGTACTGCAGCCGTTTCCTCCAACTAATTCAGTTGACTACATCTAGCTACTTACTCACTGACTAAGTATGAGTGTGTGGGGAGAAAATGAAAGTCTTCATCATTATATCTGTCTTGAATGGCAGGTGTAGCACTTAGCCGGAAATAACAGTTTTTGCCAGCTTTATTATTTAAATTAACTCCACTCGTTTTCTGGTTTAGTCATCATATTGCCTTTGTATCGGTATTGCATTTACTGTTGAATTTTACTTTGAGAATTGAGAACTAGGTTGTTTCTGATCCCAAAATGTTGTACCTACTTATGCTTACTGGGGGTGCAAATTCAAGGAGAATTTCTAAATTATATTCAGGCAAACATTTTTTGGTTCAAAACCTTTTAACATGACCAAAAATTGAGGTATACTCGTAATATTGAAAATGATTAATATTTACGGCAACAATACCTCCAGAAATACCAGGGCTGCTATTTTTCAAAACAGGTAGCCAAATAAAGTAGTAGAATTTGTTTTCAAAATGGTCAACTATTTGTATTCAAAACTAAGTTATAGGGCAATAGTATTTATTTGTATACAGTACAGTTTTTTGTTGCTCTAAGTTGATGAACCAGCTCATCAAATTTGTTCCTGCTAGACTAATTTGAAGCCTTGATGGTTTAAACGTGTGTTTCTTATTAACATTTGACTGAAAGGGACATAAATGAAGCAAAGATTCCTCTGGGATTCATAAATTGAGAAGAAAATGAAATAGCTATGTACACATCTTTCTAAACTTAACTCATGATTACAGAAAATAAACATGAAGTATTGTCTAATCCATAAAAAAGCATATTTTTAAATAAAATCAAAAGCACAAGAGAATACAAGAAAAGGCAACTGCAGTCTTTTTTCTATTTGATGCACATCTCTTGCCATTTGCATGGAAATATTAATTATGTTTCTCACTAGATCAATTTCAAAACAAAAAAGATGCCTAAACAACTCATTATTAACACTAAAACATAAACTATTATTCTATTTTTTCTGATGCTTGCTGCAGTTACCTGTCCCTGTATTCTCTAGTGTCTTTGATTAAAGGTAGAAGCCTTCCCATCATTTTTGAGAAAGTTGGTCATTAATCACATGAAAATGTTCAATGGTGATGTACAATCATTCCATCAGTCACAATATATCATTTTTCGAGTCTAAAATCTGAGATATGACATAATATCTCCACCATAGGAACCTTATAGTATAAGCGTTATAGCACTGCAAAAAATAGCCACTAAAATACAACAATAATTTTTGTGAAAATTAGACTGCAACTCCAAAAGTCAAGGAGTGCAAAATGAATAAATTCTGGGTATTTTGATTTATGAGTTAGCTTTTACTTTAAATATACTGTAATATACATATATGATTATGAAGAGAACAAAAAAAATAAAACTGTTAGATTCTTGCTTCTCATTTTCAAGCCATGTTCTGCTTATTCGGCCATTGCCTCACCACTATTACACCACTATTGAAATTTGTATTCTTTGGCAATGCAACATCTGTCCATTGTCATATGCTATGTCAACTCTGATTAGCCATATGCTTTACATGCATTCCAATCAGATCTGTACATTTTACCAAGGTAAACATCAACAATCTCTCCATACAATCATACAGTTTCTTTTAAGTTTAACATTACATCACTTTCAAAAACTGTTCAAATCAAAGGATAATGAGAATATGTTCAAATCACATGTACAAAACTGTGCAATTCAGATAATGCCTACTTCTCTACTTAAAAAACAATTTTCCAATTTATTTTATGTCTTCCCATTACATTTTAGTGAAAGCTATTGACAGTAAAATAATATTCCACTGTTAACACTGCTATAGTATATTTGTTTTAATTTTTCTTATGTAGCATACATTAATAAACAATATTCATATGTTACTTTTTACCATTTCCTTCCTTGATATTTATTGAACTTTTTATCATATTAAATAAATATTTAGTTTGAGCGATTTTTTTAACATTAATGTAGAACACATAAATGCAAATAACCCAGAATTTGTTCATTTTACAATATATGATAAACCAGGGCAATATAAAGATATTGACTTAAAAAAGTTGGGGGTCTAATTTTCAAGAAAATGATAGTTGTGTTTTACTGGATAGTAGCCATTTTGCCAGTATTGTAATGCTTTTATCATAAGTTCATATGGCAGAGATATTATGCTATTTCAGGGTTCCCTACAATGCCTTGTAATATGTTCATATTTAAAGTAAAGTCAAAAATGTAAAAAACACATACAATTGTCAAATTCAAAAAATACTAACTAAATTCCATGGGGATTTTCAAGAATTCTGTTTACCCTAATATGAACGCATAATTAATTATGTAAAATATACAAAAATAAGCATTGACAGACACTAAAACATAACCTGCGTCATGTTTTCTCCACAAAGTACGTCAGCAGTATTCTAATTTTAGCTCTCTCTTCCGAACAAGTAATTAATATACACTCGTATTACATAATATATTTACAACAATGATTAATTTATTAAAGGGTCATTGTATGTTAAAAAATGATATGTCATAGTATATAGCTTATTTGCAAACAATTTTTACAAATTGGTAATTCAGAAAAAAAATTGTATTTGTGTCACATATCATTTAGCATCACTGTTCAGTCACAGTTATTTTTATCAAATTTCTTCTTGTATTGTACAAAACCTATACTAGTAATGTATTCATTCTGTTAGTACTGCGTACACTTTCGGAAATACCGCTAGCCCATAATTTATCAACTCGCAAAAATTGATAGTGGCAAAATTTACAAAGTTTGCAGTGTAAAACGTTGTACTGTTTTCAAATACATGTATTAGATTCACGCACTGTGCGAGTCCTTGCAGTGAACAAAAAAAACCTATTTCCCTTCTCAAAAGACCCTGTGAATTGAAATATGACATTAACTATAATTTAATAATCATGTGTACAGCTTATAGATAAAAATTTACCTATTCGCTCTATCGCAAAAATTGCATTTATTTGAAGCAGAATCATTAAAATATGACTTGTTTTTTTCCATTTAATTAATGAAGTGCAAGTACTGTCAATTGATTATGTTTGATAATTAGAATTAGAAAAGTGTCGTTTTTTTTCTTGGTGCTTGCCTTGACACATAAGAAAAGAGGTAAATACCTATTATTCAAGGCTATCAAGTGGAGATGAAGCTCATAATTATGTACCAGGATGCACTGACCCTGATCACAAATCTGTGGTTCAGGTGTTTCCATTCAAATATGGAAATCTCAAAAAGAAATACTACTCAAAATAATTGCCTTTGAGCTCATCAGTATCTTTCTATAGGCTAATATGCATTCTGAAATTGCGGTGTGAAACTTATACAGTATGTCACATGTTATGTCACATGCTAGTCACATGAGTGCCCTGGGATGAGAGGTCATATCACATTTCCTGTCAGTATAATATTCACATCAGGGAACCAACAATAATTCAGCAGGTACATGTATTACAATGTGTACATACCGGTACTACAGCTAAGCCTTCCTATCATTGATTTATTGATTTATTGATTTATTTCTATAAACTCTGTTTATTATTTCAGTTACATTCAAGAGAGTTAGGAGGGCTTCCTCATTTCCAACATGTCCTCGGTAAAAGTAGCCGTCCGTGTCCGTCCATTCAATGCAAGGGAATATGCTAACAAATCATTATGTATCATCAGCATGGAAGGAAACAGAACCAGTAAGTAGCCTTTTTATTCTCTGTAATTATTCCCACATGTAGTAAGCAGGGACACTAAAGCTTTTTGTCAATTTGACCCCCTTTAGAGGGCAGATTCCACTACTGCTTAGGTCAGGTATTACTGTCAAATAAATGAGGGACACATATGTTAAATAAAACCACTGACCATGAATATTTATACAGCTTTTGACATTGACAATTAGAAATAAGAAAAAGCCTTAGGTATTCAGAGTGTATTGCCATCTAATCCATTATGTGGTTGACCTATTGACCACTGCCTGGTATTTTGGTTTACATGTACATTATTATACCGGATATCTTCTCTGTTTTAAAAATAAATTCTTAGATTCCTGCAGTAATATCTGCATGATTATTAATGTTATTTATTCAGCCATACAAACATAAATATTCTGCACAGACTCTATCACATAATTGGGATTACTTTATTGAAAGGTTGTCTGACCTAGTTGTCACAGATGTATGTATATGCACACATAGTAAATTTCTGTACATGCGTATGCTTGCATTCTTTATTGTCTGATTTCCTGTGCACTGTTTGTGTGTACGTGTGTTACTGCATATATATATTAAATACCATGGTAGGTATCTCCTCTATCTTTATAAATAGTTGATGCTAAATGTCATTATTTCACACAGTATCAATAGACAAAGTCCAGACATAGTAATGCATTCGCATACCATTGCAAATGCAGTCTAATGTGTTAAGATAGGAGACAAATTTGTTTGGGGATGGGGTGAAATGCAGTGTTGCACAGATTAAATACTAGTACATGTATTGAGAAAATAAACTTTTGATGAAAAGAGGTTTTCAATAAAAAATGAATATTTTTGTACAAGTATAGATTTTGTGTAAACAAATAATATACCACTAGTTTACTATTAGTGTATATGTCACATTCAACAGAAATATTTACATACAGTTAGCAACTCTTTTTAGAAGGACTGCTAAAATGCAGGTGTATGTTTACAGGCAAGTTATTAAAAAAATTGAACTGCATCAAATTATTTGATCACAATGTGGCCATTACATGTGAAATAATGTCCTCGTCGTTGACCATGATCCTACACCTGGGCTTTAATGAAATTAAAAGTAGTATTACCCCAAGGCACACAGTCTACAAATTCATGTCCAAGGGCTATCTGTTTCCAAAATTACAAAACATGGATATCATGATACACTAAATAAGTTTATTATTTTACAACTCATTTCATGTTCCAGCAAACTGATTTGCTACTCAGCTTTACCATAATGCAATTATCTCACCAGGAATTAAATATGTGATTAGAATTTTTCCTATTCTCGGGGGTGGACATCTAGGAATTTTTATCACCTGGCAACTGTCAGGTTGAAAACAAAGGCCGGAAACGGTACTTAGGGATAGTTGTTGAGTCTCCCCTGAACAGTGTAATAAGATTACCCCTACATATATAACATGTATAAATTTGGTGGTTCAGGATTATTTCCAACTTGAGTTTGTGCAGATTTGCTGACTTTTATAGCTGTTTTCATCTGCTCTTTGACTGGTATTCCAAGGTACATTCCAAGGTGTGCATCTTAGCAACATGGAATGTTGGATGACGTAGCTCCACCCCTACATGTGCAACATATATGAATTTGGTTGCTCAGGATTACTTCCAACTTGAGTTTGTGCAAATTTGCTGACTTTCATAGCTGTTTTCACCTGCTCTTTGACTGGTATTCCAAGGTACATTCCAAGGTGTGCATCTTAGCAACATAGAATGTTGGGTGACATAGCTCCACCCCAAAGGGTACTTCAGAAAGTCTGAGTTAATTATCCATTCTTGTACAATTTTAGACACAGACATGAAATATTTTGGAAGATTTTGTAAAATGACTAATTTTCGCTGGGTTTAAATTTTGCTGATTTACCATTTCAAGCATATTCAGTGGTTTTTATCATTTAGATAATGTGTTCTATGCTAAATTTTACATATTCACTGGGTTTTAATTTAGCGCATTTTCCAGTCAGCGAAATAAGCAAAATCAAACCCAGTATAGATGTTCGTGAATTGTTTTTGTAAAATGACTCAGTATCAAATGTTAAATAGGAATTCTATTTATACATTTATAAATTGTCAATTGTATTTCCTTACATTTTATGTGCAAGTCATGGAAGTAAGAAAAAAAATAAACCAGGAGGCAAATGTCTCATGTCTGACGAGATTACTGCGTATGGCTATCATCTTTTCTAATTTGTAGCCTAACCAGGCTGTTAAAATGTTAATTCTGACACCTGATCACACCTGTCAAATTACTTCTACATCCATCCATCCATCCATGTGTATGTGGCTCAGTTCCATTATACCTTGCACAATCGAGACCTGGATATCCTGCAATGTACTGTGCAACAGCTCAGAGATGGAAAACCCTAGTTTTTGCTATCATCCCTGAACAATATACCTGGCAGGCATTAAGGTCAAATGCATTCAGACTCACAAAGCAGCATCATTCTTAAGCTTTGACATTTGTAAACATTACAAATCCTCTACTCGCACTATGTTGTTTCCATTGGCAGTTCATAGTTAAGAACAAAGATGATGAGATACAGTAGAAAGAATTCCTGAAAAGTAGACAACAGAGGGGTGATTAGGTTGGTCACTGTTAGTTGGGGGGCTGACTAGAATCTGTGCATTTTGTAAGATTTCCAGGAATAACACCACCAAATATCAAACATTTAATCATCCCTTCACAGACACCCATGCATTAATGAGATATCCAGGGATAAACCTCCCTTACATGGTTATAATCATACCATATATAGACACCTATATGTTAATGAGATATCCAGGATAACATTACCATATATGGTTCTAATCATACCATATATAGACACCTATATGTTAATGAGATATCCAGGATAACATTACCATATATGGTTCTAATCATACCATATATAGTTGCTTATATGTTAAATGTGAATATTTTATTCCTCATTGTAAAAAAAGTTATTAGTCTCAAGTCCATGGATAAGTCTACAATTGAAAAACATAATACATGTATAATTATGCATAAAGCAGTCGTGATGCACAGCAATGTTCAGAGAAGTACCGAGTTGATTTGGTATAAAATTTTTTTTTTTATACAAACAATTTTTACAGGTGCATGCACAGCTTTACTGCAGAAAATATAATTTGCCATCATTGTGTCATAATTATGTGTGAAGCAGAGAAGATGCACTGCCAATTAGCCGTGTTCTGAGATATACTGACTTGATTTGCTGTTAAAATTTGAGCCGTGCATCCACATAAAATTATCGTCTCTGCAAATGTAATATTCTAAGAACATGCTGTTGTGCAGAAAATTGCCAGCAAATAGATCTAAATTCTAAATTCTAAATCTAAATTCGTTGAGACTGATGTATAAATAACTAATAGCTTTATAGACATAGGCACTGTAATGAGGATTGTATTATGGGATATCCTTTTACTGGCCTCATTGATGTCACAAATTACATTTCCATATTGATGGCTGGGAGTCAATAAACTTTATTAAGCTATGTAAATAACATAAAATACATTTGATCTTTCAAGAAAGCTAATGTGTGTGAGCAAAAAAAAGAACAAATCAATGCAGAAAAATTGTCTTTTATGTTATAAATGTAGATTCATTTGAAAAGTGTTATTGATTTTGTTATGTTTTGCTGGTATTATTATAGGTTCATTTGTCAGTTGCGTGTGAGTGGAATCTTGTATGGTGATTGTGTAGAAGTAGTAACATTGCTATGCAGAGAATAGAATAGAATAAAATAGAATAGAATATGTAGTATAGAACATATAGAATTTAATATGTAATTATAGAATAAATAAAATAATTGGAATAAAATAGAACCTAATAGAATATATTTACAGGTAACTGTTAGTATACTAACTGTAAACTTCATGAGAGATGAATGTTTACAAATAATGCAAGTTGAAGGAAATCACAATTTTTTTGAGGTAAACAATGAGTTTAGTACAAGAAAACACAATCATATTATCAAGTCACAAAATTTCTGATAATTTAAATTTATATTTATTCAAATATTAAAGTGTGTCAAAACATTGCATGGAATAAACAAATGCTGTATTTTTTCACACTTAAAAAAATTATGCTTTACACATTTTATAATGATAAATTTTTATAAAGTAATTTTATCCAACACCATAATTTCCGCTGAAATCTTGGTGACATTGATCTATAAAAATTCAAATAAAAAATTCAAGTTTAAATTCAAATCACTTAGTTTTGCAGTAGATGTTTGGTTTGCTGTTTACACACAATCTACAAGATCTTGCAGTAAATGTAAAACTTCAAAATCTAAATATTTTTCTTGCACTGTAGTTATGGTAACCCATCTTAGAAATGTTGAATAAGGATTCTTCTCTTAATGCCAATATCCTGTGCATGTTAAATAAAATTGATTAAAGCATGTTGTGATGGCAAGGGTATATTAATTCTATTTTTAAATCATTTTATTGATATTTTCTCAACGTCAGTCTTGATATATTTCTTTATTGGCATCTAAAATGATTTTTTTTTAGAAATTGATGTATTTTTTCCAATTAAGAAAGCAGCTTGAAGATAATATATGAATATTACTTTGTGCTTCTCTAATAAATAACTCCTTTCAAGTCTTATTTGTTATTTTTTTTTAATTTGACAAAATTACTGTGATCATATAAGATTTTGCATAATTAGCTCTAAAGATGCTTGTTTAGTGAGACTGCCAATTTAGCACAATTTTCATCAGCTTCTAGTTGGGGGAACAATATGATTGGTTGCCATGACAACTCTTGAAGGCTGAAGTTGAGTAAACATTGTCTGTAAATGAGATTATTGACAGATCTGTCAAGTGATGCCAGTACTATAAGTGAGAGGTAGTGATTGGAATTCTCAAAGTATCAGCAGACGCATTTTGAATATTAAGTGTTTTGGTTTGTACAGACCTTTTTTTGATTCCTTCTCCTTATTTGGAGTG